GATCTCTTAGAACTCGAATAGATGTACAGCTCCTCTGATTCACCAGGATTGTGACTTTGCTTCTGATTTCTTGCTTGCCCAAAATCCCTGAGCAAAGCTTATACTTGTTCTTTAGCCAGAGACCTGAGTCCTTAGGGAATTAATACAAGAGACTTTTGGTGGCAGTATATCTGGCTCCTGACTGTACCAGCTGGTTCCTGGGCCATATTCTTAAAATAGAAAAATAAATTATAGCTCTGCCAGGACTACATTTGGTATAATCCAGAGAATATGTGTTTAAGTGTCTGAAGGAATCAGCCACAGGAATCTTGATGGTACCAGCCAAGATATCTGAGGTCCAAGGGTGGCAAAACCCAGGGACCATCCAGTACTCATGGGGGGATTCCAGCTAAATAGAAGCTGGGATTTGGACATGTCCGGGCAGGTCTGCTGAATACTCAGGGCAGGCATGCCTGGAGTCTATTTACATGACAACTTTTGGCTGAAGAATGATTGTTTGTTGATCTGAATGGAAAGTGGAATGGGAAGAAGAGAAATTTGTCTGTCTTAGGATGCAGGTTTTGAAAAATGTTTTTTAATAAATGAGTTTATAAATTAAATAATATATCACCTTTTTGTATCCGGTAATTGTACAATTTACATTAGGATTTTTGCTAGTTTGGAAATAATTTATTACTATCTTTAGAAACCTATAGCCCTCTTGTAGGAAATCCTGTCAAAATTAAAGACAGATTTAATCTAGTTTACTACCAGGGATTGTGTTGGGTGTGTGAATGAAAAGACAAAATGCATGTCTTGTGGCTTTGGAAATGTTGTTGGGTGACTGATTTTTTTCTAAATTTCCATGAAAAATAATGTATCTCAATTTGTCATTTGAACTGTGAACTTTTGCTATAGCACCTAGAACTTCCTGAAACTCTGTTAAATATTAACGTGGCTAAAACAGTTTAAAATTTAAAATAAATTGTTTACACTTGTGCTTCTGGTCTTGATTGGTGCCACTCCTTATTCATTGCATTTTCAAGGTAGAGGCTGGTTGATGAGCTACAATTCCACTCTTTCTTTTTCTTTCTTTCTTTTTTTTTTGTTTTGTTTTTTTATCCAGGCCATGCAGCCTGCAGTGGAAGAGCAGAGTCTTAAGCACTTGACCACCAGGGAAGTCCCTCTTTTTTCTTTAATTAATAACAATTATTACAGTCCTAGAGGACACTTACTCACTGGCTGTTTTTCATGTGCAAGGCACAGATCTAAGCACTTTACACATTTTATTTCTTTTAATCTTCAGAACACTGTTATGAGGGAGACACTTCTATTATCCTGGCTACATACATGGGAAAACTGAGGCCTAGAGAGGTTAAATTCCTTGTTTGTTTGTTTTTTTTTATAAATTTATTTATTTACTTTTGGCTGTGTTTGGTCTTGGTTGCTGCGCGTGGGCAGGCTTTCTCTAGTTGCTGAGATCGGGGGCCACCCTTCGTTGCGGTGCACGGGCTCCTCATTTCGGTGGCTTCTGTTGCAGAGCACGGGCTCTAGGCGTGCGGGCTCCAGTAGTCGCGGCACACAGGCTCAGGAGTTGCAGCTCACGGGCCCTAGAGTGCAGGCTCAGTAGTTGTGTCACGTGGGCTTAGTTGCTCCGCGGCATGTGGCATCTTCCCGGGCCGGGGCTGGAACCCGTGTCCCCTGCATTGGCAGGCAGATTCCCAACCACTGTGCCACCAGGGAAGTCCCCAAATTCCTTGTTTAATTAATATATAGCAAGCAGTGGGGAGAACTGTGGTTTTGGGGTTTGAAGTGTTTTATCAAAGCTACTAATTACTCTAAATTTTAAGATGGTTATGGAAAAGAAAAGGCCGTTTCTCAGTTCAGGTATGGTTTAGGTGTCAGAAATTCTCTCATTGCCAATTTTGATTCTTTAGCCCTTGCAAAGTCACCGGAATTATTTTCCAGTCTTTTGGTCATACAAAATGATTTTTTAAATGACTCTATTTCAGTTGCTTTCCTAGAGATTGGGAAAAGCAGTCTACTGTGCACCTCTCCTTGAGAATGACTTTTTAAATCTTTAAAGTTTTTATTTGGATATTATTCCAAACTTACAGAAAAGTTGCAAAAATATAGTATTAAAGATACCCATACACCTTTTACTCAAATTCACTTATTGTTAATTAACATTTTACTTCTTTTATCATTTGTGTGCTCTCTCTGATTACATATGGGGGGAAAAAAAACTATATAAAGCTATATTTTTTCTTTCTAAATCACTTAAGGGTAAATTACATACATTTTGGTCTTTCCCCCTAAATACTTCAGTGTCTTTCCTAAGTATAGGAATATTCTCTTACTTGTATATTTCAGTACATTTGATTTGATACAATGCTTTAATCTATGGACAGTGTTCTAATTTTGTCAGTTGGACAATAATGTTATATACAGGGGTTTCCCCCTTGGGTACAGGATCCAGTCTAAGGCCAGGTACTACACTGAGCTGCATTGTTTGAGAATGATTCTAATTATGCCAGATTTTATTTTTGCTATACCCATACAGCATGTAAAAATCTTAATTAAAGTGGACCTCTGATGAAAATTAGACCCCTGATAGATTTTTCATTATTACTTGATATTTTGCAATTCCTAATGATGATTAGGATGAACTCATACTAATTAAAGCTAGTTACCAGCAACTGTTTCTATTAATTACTTTATATACCTAAACGAATTAGATTCTTTTGAGTCATAGCTGAAATTCTAACAGTACCCTAATGGTATTAATCTAATTTTAATTTTAAAAGAGACTTTATTTTTTGGTACTAATTAGCCTAATGCAGGATTACTGGAAAAGTCGGAAACCCCAAGAAGGAAAATGAGATACTGTCTGGCGTTTGAGAGGAATGATTGATGCTGACAAGTATGAAATAAAAATTATAAATAAATAATCCGGATGTTGTTTAAAAGGCAAGCTGTTGATTTTATCACTCCCCCTTGCCAAGACACACATTGGTGCCTGTTAAATTTGACGTTTTTACTCTGATTTCAATGGCAGCTTTAAAACATCAATAGCATCCCAGGATGAGGTAATAAATCTGTCCCAGGAAGGGATGTGAAACCATGTCTGCCTGCTGTTTCCTTACCCAAGAGCCCAAGCCTAGGGGCAAGCCAGCAGCTCCTGGGCACTACAGAAGCTACCATCCTTGTCTTTCCTCGGTTAATGGTGGCCTGTTTGTCTTCTGCACCTCTTTTCCCCCTTTCTCTGGGAACCGGGAGCAGAGGGCTAATGAATGCGACAGGCTCCTAATCATTATACAAACTCTGCCCACGCAACAGGCCCCTCTGCCTTCACCAAATTTCTCATTTGGTGACCACAGTTGAGAGCCAACAGTCTCCTATAGTCATTTTTAATAATTATTTATATTAAAGAGGGTTTTCACAAAAGGGATAAACTTTTGAAAAGAACTTGGGTCACAGTTTTTGAAAGGACATATTTGCTTAGCAATGTTTGCAATATTGACTGTTGTTTGCACTTGCCCTCCTACAGTCCCAATCCTCACTTCTTTGCATCTTGTACTTGATATTTTTTAATATACTTAGGCAATGAATTGGCACACGAGTTGGAAACTTGTGATTATATAGTTACGTATCACTATGTAGTACAATGTATTACAGGGACAACCAATTGATGCCCCAGATGCCAATCTGAGACTCTGATAGTGACTTGGCTGTCTAATGTAAACTGCAAAATATTAATACATGTCCTCTTACCTTGAAAGTGTCATTATTTACTCTCCATGAACCATGGACATCATTGTGGAGATCCACCCCTGCCCCACCCTTACTTCACCAAGTCTCTAGAATTCCAACACTATACTGCCTTTATTTCTGTAGTTGGTATTCTGACTTCTACGATGTGCTGTCATATATTAGTCTATTTTCACTTTTCCTTGTGATGTGCTTTGTTTTTTTAAAGATCTAAGATCCACTGTATTTAGATGAGGAAAGATAAAGGGCACCTCTGGCTATGGAGATGAGTTTGGAACAAGGATAGCTAAGAAGATGGTGTTTTTAAAGAGGAAACTTTAGGCTTGGTACATTGTAGGGAAGAACATTTACAGTGTCCTCCAGGGCTGAGTGGTAGGTATGCCATCACTCCTACAAACGGGTGGCTGGACCTCAGATTCCTTTATCTTTTGAGCTCCACGGAGGTGATCTGTAATTTACCTTGGAGTTCCTACTGCCCTGGCCACTTAATTTCAGTGATAACTCTATTTCTCAGCAAATGTATCATACACATTTTTACTCAAAAGCCCACATAACTTCTCTTACATCATCAGCAATTGAGACCATTGGCTTTTTAAAATTTTTTTATTTTTTCACTCATCATTTATTTACAAATACACATTATAACTTTTATATACATTGCACATTTACATGGTAGAAAAGTACAAAACTATATATTTAAATGAATTTATATTTAACTTGCCATGTTTGAAAATATAAAATTGCATCAGAAAAAAGTATTATGAAAAGCAAGAAACTTGAACTGATAAAGCTTTGATATAACTTTTCATGACACATTGGGTGAAAAGGACTAATTTAAAAGGTACAGCAGACTAGCTTAAAGGAAACACCTAACAAAAGGTTGAATGTGTAGCATTCCCCTTCCTTCAGGCTCCTGACACCCATATCACTCAATTTCTTTGGATCTGTAACATCTTAAAAGTACATTATTAGAAACCCAACATTGCCATCAGCCCCTCTCACAAATGTCTTCATCACAAGAAAACGGAAGTAGGAATTTCCTCAAAGATGTATCCTCTGTACCTTCTATCTGAGTCAGAGTTATAATGCCTTTTGGTCAGTCAAGATTCCTTGTAAACAAAACCCGAGGGATCACGTATGTACAGAACAGGCAGCAGAGAATCCAATAAATAAACATGACAGAAACTGACATGCAAGTTTGTTATAATGGAAAAGAGTCTAACAACAGTGAAATGAAGGGAGACAGATGAGTGAGTGAATAGTAAGGAATGGACTTAAATGGTTTACAAGGAAAAAAAAGCTTTTACTTTACAAGCAAGAGACCTCACAATAAATAACAACTGCTCTTCCTTTCATGAATAAATTTCTTCAAAAACAAGGTGTACAGTCAACCAGACATTTTATGTATAAATTATAAAACATGACACAGTATAAATAAATGTCTACAAGTCTCAACTATGGGCCTCATCCAGTAGACCTCACAATGACTGCCTCTCCGGGTCCAATGAGTAACAAGGTGGCCTGGGAGAGAGCTTTAGGACAAAGGTCCTTTATGTATAGTTTTCCCCCCAAATAAATAAGCATACACTTATTTACAGTATGGACAATATATTTTTTCTTTTTCTTTTTCTTTTTTTTTTTTTGCCCAAAGGCTATGTCAACACTGAACATTGGTGGAGGGTTTACCACTCTAGAATGGAAGATATAGGAAAGCTGTAGTCCTGGTCTTCATCTTCCTCCTCTTCCTCGGTGTCTTCCGAAATGGCTAGATGGGGGAATACAGGGGAGCTGCTGTTTAAATATGGACAACAACAGCGCAGAAGCAGCTCAGTGTACGTTTTCAAAGCCCTCTGAAACAGCCATATTACAGCGTTGCATTTTTATGTGACTTGCAGTAAGATGCTTTTTTTGTTTTGTTTTTGGCATCTGCTGTTATGCAATAAGTTTAAAAAAAAACTTAAAAAAAACCATTATCTATGAAGTCAAAAACTGCAGAAAGTTCTGAAGAATCAATGGCTCAGGTTTTACAGGCAGATTCCTGAAATTAGATAAAAAGCGCTCTTGTGTTCTAGGTATAACTGCTTTGGGTCCTTAATTCAGAGTTAGTAGAGGCAGCTGCGCAAAGCAGCAGCCCCTGTGTGATAATAGAAAGCTGTCTTTGAAAAAGAAAAAAAAACACCTTTGAAGCAGTTAGTTTAGATTCAAGTGTTAATAAAGCAAACAGCAAAGCACACTACTAAAGCAAAAGAAATTAGGGGCAAATGACTGGAAATAGGTTTTTAGAGGCGACCCCCTTGATGATCATCAGACAAATCCTAAAAGCCCAGAAACATTCCAGGCAATTTTTCTGTGGATCGCCGAACTGCTGGTAAAATTTAGCAGCTACCTAACTTAAACAGAAGTGGGCTTATATGGGGAGGTTTTTGTGCTTTTTACGTCTCCATTCCCTAGGGCTTGCCTGGGAAAGCCTTAAATTGCAGCAAGGTTAGAAATTGCACTTACAGTTGCAAGATCCGGAGTGCTTCACTTCCAGCAGCACACCTGAAGAGCAGGCCGCTTCCTTCATGGCACACTCGCTGGCATAGGTGGCATTGTCACTGGCACAGACAGGCTCCTCAGACTTACTCTCAGGGCACAGCTCATCGCAGAGGGAACACCGGCCTCTGCCAACCTTGAAATCCCATAAACACTTTTTTCCACCAGTGCACTGGATATCCTCACAGGACTTTGCTTCTAGGATATAATACACCTGTGATGAGTAAATCCATTTCCCCCTTGCCCCCTTTCTCTAGTCTCCTATCAATAAATGTAAACATATATCTTATTACTCACTCATGGGGGTAATGGAGATATTGTGCAAAAATGCTCTATAATAAAACCAACACACACACACACACACACACACACACACCAGTTTCCTACATACTATATTAGTGCATGAAAATACTGTAGCATTTTTTTTGGAACAGAATTTCACAATATCCTTGATCATTTCCCACAAGTGGGATCTTTTAAAAAAAGAAAGAATTCTATCAGTTATCAGAATCTGATAACAGATTTTCGGAACTGTTAAGTAATTATTTCTTGCTTCCAGCAAGTCTAGCACTTAAAAAAAATGTGTAAAATTGAGTGAGTTCTTTGGTTTCTAAGGAGGAAAACTGTTTCCTGTGTCTTGCTGTTATTTCAATATATATGCCAATGTTTCCGGAAGACAATGGTTTTCTTAAGGAATGCTGTGGTCATGACAATTTACCCAAACTGGAGAGTATTTCTCTCTTTGGTGAAGCTATGTGTTTGGGGAGGCTTTGGCTTTATTTATTGGTTAACCTCATAGTTTTAACACCAGTTCTAGTCTCTTTCTCTTTTCGTATTTTTTCTTTTCCTTCCTCAATCCAGAATACCTACTGATACACTTTCCCTCATAGGCCAATCCAATAGACCTGCCCAGTAGGCAGGTAGCCTTTCTCAGGTGACAGGCACTGGAGTAGGTTACTCCATCATTCCCACAGAGATACTGTTCAGAGGAGGTGGGCTCTGGGCAAATGCGGTTACATGTCACACAGTAGGCATTATTAGTCTGGTCCACCACGCATGTGGAACTGCCTGGACAGAAAACATCCCGACAGGTCTCTGAAACAAAGAGGGAAACACACATTAATAGGCATCTTCTGGTCCTTAGGGACTGAGCATTTGATAGTATCAAGGAAATCATGAAGTATCCAGCTTTCAAAAATGTACTCTGGGAGCCCTGTGGTTTTCAAAAGAAACCTATGACTCTAGGTTGGTCCTTCAGTGTTTTAAGGAGTCTTTAGAAGTTAGAAAGGGTTCCTTTATTTGGTATCATCATTATTATTATTAGGCTATTACTGCAGACTACACCATCCCCTGGGGGTCTTGCAGTGGGTCTATCTCAGGTAGAAAGCTGGGGGAGGGGCCGGGTAGGACCTACTTTTACATTTGCCCTGGTACTGGACTTCCAGTTCTGGCTGCTCTTTACATCTGGCCTTGAGGAGTGCACATTCGTTGCGGTAGGTTTTTCCGTCCAGCCCACAGACTGGGCCTTTCCAGGTGATGTTAGAACAATCTGGGGCACAGACGCAGCGGGGTTTGTTCTTCTTGTTCATTCGGCATTTTTTCCCGGGCCCACAGTCCACGTTCTCGCACGTTTCTAGCAGTTGGAAAGATGCAGGGATTAAAACCGGGGCCAGGCACCATGCAGGTCAGCCAGGAGGGCTGCGGGTGCCTCGCGCAATCGTGCTGCCAGCAGTCAGAGCCCAAGGGGCTCTCACCCAGAATTTGAGGAGGGGCAGGTGTGGGGGACAGTGGGCTGCATCCCATACCCAGATCTCTCTCAAAGTGCACGGGTTGGCTGGCTTCACCACCACATTTGGCTAAGAAGTCCGAGAACCTCTGTCGACCTTGTTTTGCCTGTAGTATGTGACACCCAAGATTAAACCCGGATGGCTTACCAGGGCTGGGAGTAGTTAGGTGGATCCCACGAACAAAGCTCTCCCAGTCCCAAACCCCAGCTGGGCACTGGGAGGGTAAGACGCCCTCTACTGAGGGCCTACAAATTGGGGAGGAAGAGCCCTACCTTTACAGGGGATGCAGTTGGGGGCGCCCCCATTGAAAATCATCCACTTGAAGAGCGTGTTGTCATTTACGTCCTCTTCGGTCCATGAGGTGCTCAGGCGGCCGGTGCTGCAGCACTCCTCCTTGGTCAATTCTGTCTTGTACAGGACCTGGCAGCGGCCGTTCTTTGCTTGGCGGAGCCAGCAGTTCCCAGCTGCGGGGAGACAGGGGCGGGGAGGTGGGAGAGTGAGCAGTGGCTGGGTAGAGGGAGAGGCGGCGAGCCGGCAAGGGAAGGAGACCCGGCGGGGATGGGGAGGGAGTGAGCATGGAGGAGGAGAGACGGGAGAGAAAAGCAGAAAAGCAGGAAACAAATCGGAGGGAGTGAAGGGGTGGAGAAAGAGGGGGGGGAAAGCCAGATTGAAGAGGTGGGAGGTGGGCGAGGGGGAGGGAAGGCGAGAGCGAGAAGCCAGAGCGCCCCAGCCGTATCAATGTCAGTTACCAGTGACCCAGACACAACACGTGCAGCTTGCATTGACTTTTACTAGACTGTTTACTTTTATTCGTCCCATTTCATAACCTGCAGCGACTCGAAGAGCAGATTAAAGAACCTGACAAAAACAGGATGCGACGGGTGTTTTTACATGTTGCATTCATGTAGGCGGTACGAGTATTATTTGTGACAGGGGTTAAGAAAGTAGAACTTGAGAGAGAGAGAAAGAAAAAGAAAGGGGGAGACAGAGAGACCGAGACAGACAGACAGACAGACAGACAGACAGACACACACACACACACACACACACACACACACACGAACAGATCAAGCAAAAGGCACTTGTGAAAAATGAAAGCAAAAAAGCAACCGGGCCCTGCCCGGCGCTGCCCCGCGCGGCCTCGAGGCGCAGCCCGCCCGACGGGCCGTTTTGCAATCCGCCAGACCCAGAGGACGCCCGCGGCCACCGCGATCTTTCGAAATCTCTCAGGGCTGCTTTCCCCGGCACCCCGGCAGCGCCTCGTCCCGAAAGGCGGGCAACTCAGAGTAGTGCGTCGCAGCCGGCTTGGGACAGTGCCCTGGGGACAATTTACAACACACACAAATTGTTAACGCTAAAGCCAGGAAAGTTACAAGTCTGCCTCAAGAGAAGAGTGGGGGGGAAACAAAAAGGGGGGGAAACTTCCTACTGTTTCATGGTTTTATATACATGCATGTGTGTATACACACCCCTATCTCATACCTACCAAGAAATCTTTGCAAGTAATTTCTCCTCCTTCCTCCTTTTTAATGTTCGGATTTTGGTCAGGAAGATTTCTCATGAATCATCCATATAACTTTAACAATAATTGGATCGCAAGCTGCTATTATTATTTTAAAAAAATCTGCCCAAAGACTAATTGAAATAAATCTAATTCTAAAAAGCTTTAGAAATTTGCATCTCAGAATTTAAATCAGTTGTGGGCTCCGCACTGTTCTACATAAAGTTAACAGTCAGAGGAATGAGGCAAAGGGGAAAAAACTGTAAACTACTCAAAAGAGTCCGGGGCAACAATTTTTTTTTTTTTTTTTGCGGGGTTTGGGGGAGGGGGTTGGAAGCATCCACTAGGCAGAAAGCTACTTCCCTCTAAAATTTTCGGCACCCACATTTCCAAGTTTGGGCAAAGTTTCTGAAACCACGTCCCCCAGCCACCGAAGAAATTTCAGTATCCCCCCCCCCACCCATTTTTTAAGGTATCCAAAAGACGTAGGAGGGAGGGAGGTTAGACTGCAAATGGGTCGACTGAAATCTCCAGGCTACTGATGCTTGTCCCCTTCCTCAGAGCCAAACAGGGGAGATAACATCTGAACTCATTATGTCCAGAACTTGGAGCATCTAACCCTACCTACTGAGAGAGACTCCAGCTCACCCCCTTTCCTTTTAAAGGATAACCGCGCTCCAAACTCGGCTTCAGGTCCTAAAGTGTCACTGCCTTTAGTTTTCCCACTCCTCTCCATCCCGGACTCGCTAAGTTGGTCCAACATCTTCCGAGAACAGCGTTGCTCAGAACAGACCCAGTGGTGACGACCGAAAAGTACAACCCCCTGCCCTGTGCCGAACCTCCCAGCGCATCCCCCTCGCTTACCCTGGGCACTGCGGTCCTCCATGAACTGGCAGAGCAGCAGCAGCAGGAGGCAGAGCCCGCCGGGCTGGTGCCTGGGACGGACCATCCTGGGGGCTGGCGCGGGACGAGGAGTGCGGCGGCGCGGGGAGCGGGCGCGGCGGCGGGTGGCTCGGGCAAGCGGCGCGCGTCGCAGAGGCGAGCGGCGGAGGGCGCAGCGATCCCGGCGCAGCCCCGCGCTCGCCGCCGGCCGCCCGCGCGATTCAATGGACGTCAGAAGCCGGGCGCAGCCGCGCTTTAAATCTAGACGGGGGTCTCCGCGGTTTGCGGTGGGCGGTCTCCCAGTGTGTGGGGCAGTGGGAGGGCGGCCGCGAGCGAGGGTGTGCGCGGCTCCTTGGGGGTGGGGAGCTTCTAAAAGTTCAGTGTGAATCAGGTGACATTTCCCACCTTCTGGAAACCCTTCCCAATTATCTGGTGGAGGTGCCCGAAATCAAAGCTGAAGGAGGGGAATCGCCGAGTTCTTATTTGCGTAGGAGCGAGAGGGAGGGGGCAGGCGACCGGGGCGGGGGAGTGGGGAAGAACACCCACTTCAAGTCCTGCACGCCGCCGCTCGCTGGTAGCGCCGGCGCGCCGGGGGTGGCGCGCGCGCGCGCGCGC